CAAGGGACAAGCCCAGTTGTAGGAAGCCGGCCTTCCTGCCTCCTGAAGACAGGTGACCATGAGGACGCCCCCCTCCCGCTCACCCTCCCGTTGGAGTGGCCCAGCGCTCTGCAGGGCCGGCCGTTACGCAGCTGTGGACCCGCGTGCGGCTGAGATGAGGGGACGCCCCGTGCTGTGCTGCCTTGAAGGGCCTGTGGACTCCTGGAGGAGGCAGTGCTCCCCGCACTTGCCATGGGGTTTATTGTCAGTTGTCCTGCCTTTGTTGGCCCCATGATGGCAGGGACAGGCTCCTGGCTCACACGACCACTGCTGGCATGTGGCGCCCCGTCTGCTGACTGGTGGAAGGAGCATGTGAGAGATTACACCTCCAGTGTATTCAGAAGAGACCATCCAACACCAACCAGGTAGGAGATGCGAGTGGAAGGAGCGGGGAGGACCTTTGTGATCATCTGTCACGAGCTTTTTTCTGGGCAGGAAGCCTCACAGCTAACTTCATTTGGTTCTCACAATAACCCCGAGGTGGGAGACAGTTGCCCCAGGTTGGGTTGCAGCAGCAGATACTGAGGTGAGGATCTGTGACGATGGTTTATTGAGAAGTGTTAGCTGGGGACTTAAGGACAGACAGGGAGGGGAAGGAAGCCAGGGAGGGCTCGAGGTCAGGGGGAGCAGTTTGGCTCATTCTATAGAGGGTTCTGGAAACAGCTAAGCTCAAGGCAGAGCAGCCCCCTGGGCAGCTGGGCAGCGGGGATTTGCATGTGTCACCCTGGGTGCTGGGTTAGGGCAGCTGCTGTCCAAGCATCCTGAGTGCCGAGTGGGGCTCGGCAGCCTGACCCCGGGGTTTACTGTTGAGAGTGAGCAAACAGAAGCCAGTGTGCTCAAGAATCCCAAAGGAAATTGTGTGCGTGGGGGGCAGAGCACCTGTAGCACTGATGGCATTTTTTAGGCCTGGAACTGCTGCAGAGAGAGGTGGAGTGGCTCACCCAGGAGCACTTGGCTAAGCACTCGCCTGCCTCCTACCCCTCCTTACATCGCTGACTCTGAGATGAAAGGCAAGCTTGGCCTCCACCTGGCTCGTGGTTGGGGAGAAAGAGGGAAAGGACAGCACTTAGAAGGGGAACTGGGTGCCAGGAGGGGCACTGCCACTGGGCTGGCAGCTCCGGCAATTCGAGGGAGGGAGTGCGCCTGCTAAGTCCGCAGTGGCTCCTCCTCACCTCCCCTCCCAGCCTCTGTGTGAGATGCGCCCTCTGGAAAAGGCCGCGGCCATGTCTGTTTATCTCTGTGGGGAAAGAGGCTTCACAAATTAGCTGATGCTTAATTGGTGAGGGGAAGTGGGACAGGGAAGTGAGCCAGTTGTCCTGTGGGGTTTTCTGATCAATTCTCCCATCAATGTTCTCTGCGTGAGTCTGAGGTCAGGTGGGAAGGCTCCTTAGAGCCGCCGGGCTCCCACCTGCTCCTGGGAAGTGCCCGGGACTGTCAGGTCTGTGCTGCTGCTTCCTCTGGGGACCCGCGGAGGACCTCTCACCTGCACAGGTGCCCCCACACCCTCAGCTTCACTGCATGCTCTGGAGCAGGGCTCCCAGTCCCGAGGCCAAGGAGAGGGGCCGGCTCTGAAACTCCAGGGGATCATCATACTCAGAGCATTTAGGATTCCTAGGAGTGGGGCCCAGGGGTCCGCATTTTTAAAAGCTCTCTAGGAAGCTCTTAGATTGTTGGGGAAGGTCATCAGAAGATGTAACCCCTGGTTTGAACTGCAAGCTAAAGCCAGGCACATGGAGGCTGCCCACCCTCTCCCCTGTGCTTGGTCTGTGCATCCCGCTAGCCTCCCCGGTGCTAGAAGCTGTCCAAGGACACAGCCTTGGGATAGTAGTGTGGCCCGGAGATCGTCCGGACTTGGTACGTGACTGAACCCAGTTAAGGCCTCTACATAAACTTTTAAGGTTCTGGCGGGCAGGTGCAGAAAACTGTTTGTCCTGCAGCTACCACGACAAGCCTTGTAAGTTTCCCTTCCTTGTTAAACCTGCCACCTACCAGCCTGGAGTGGTCCAGCCGCTCCCTGCCTCTGTGTGGGGCTGCTTCAGATTTACCCAGGAAGCTCCCGGCCAGGTTTGCACAGCAGCATCTCTGCAGCCAGACTTGAGAATCACTGCTGCCGGTGGTCAGTGCCCACTGGAGCCTCGCCCTCGCCCACAGTGGCCACCCTCCTGGCCAGCGGCTGAGTGCCTCCCAGGGCACTGCTGCTCGCTTTCCACTTGGGCACGTCCCTCACTACCCTCAGGCAGCCGTCTGTCTTGGAGGACTGGGGAAGCCATAAAGTTCTCTCTTGCACTGAGCTGATACTTGCCATCCTGATACTGGAGACCTTGCTCCTAGACCAACTCTCACAGGCCGCAGAAAGTGATTCCAGCCTCTCTTGCATGTGGCAGTTATGTGTTTATAGACACCTACACCGAGCCAGCCTCCCAGCCTCCCAGCCTCCCAGCCTCCCAGCCACGTTGACGGCTGTGGTCTGCACTGCTCCACTCTGCCGCCGACTCCAGGCTGCGTGTCCTCCATCAATCAGGGTGCCCAGCAGTCAGCCTCTCGGGGAGCAGAGTGGACCGTAGCTTCTTGCCTTTTCATGATTCTTTACTGAGCACTGCTGCTTTCAAATCTCATCTCTCCCTTTACCCTTCTGCTCTGGAAACCAGGGTCTGACTTTCAGATCGGCCTTGTTAAACTACCTCTCTCTTCAGTTCAGTTCTGTGTCTGGCTTTCTGAGGTGTTAAGACCTCCTCCCAGCTCTGTGTCGTGTGCAGACTTGATGAGCGTGGGACTGGTGTCCTCCAGTGAGCACTAGGGAGTGCCAAGGAGTTGGGACTGGGGCATCAGGAGCTGGCGTGTGCTGCAGTGTCTTCAGAGTGCCCTGTCCCTGTCCCCCCTCCTCCAGCCCCTCCCTCAGCCACCAGGCTTCTGAAGATACTCCTGAAAGTCTGAGTGTTGAGAGGAGAGAGGCTCTGGGCTGGGTGGCTGTGACTCCACCCTGCGGTGCTTTCTCTTCACCCTTCTAAGCATCAGGAGTCCTCCCAGCTTCTGTGGAGAGGGCCTACTCTACCCAGTTTGTAGAGGAGGCAGAAGGTGTCTTCGGGACATCGCCATGAGGTACCACGCTAGTCCGACTCCTGTCCCCACTTGTCTCCACAGGGCCTGGCACCCTCCTATTTGTAAGCTAGAGGAGTCTGTGTTCTGCACCCTGACATGGTCCAGGAAGGCCCCTGTGCCACCCTGGTGTTCCATGAGGGGTCTAGCTGTCTGTGAGGACATGGGTGGGAGAGCTGGCCAGGCGCTCCCAGGCTCCGTCTCCATGTGCTGGCCGTCGGCCAGCAAGCTCTCCCATCGCTGACAGAAGCGAGGCTCTGAAGGGGCCGGTGCAGTGGCAGTGCTGGGACCGGGCCCCGCACATGCTGGGCCCCTGGGGAGGTGGCCTTTCACCCTATGCTCTCACCTGCTACACTGAGTCAGGTCTCAGTACTGATGGGAAGCTATGCTGTTTCTGATACATTGCTGAATCAGAAATGACAGCTGTGTCCGGATGTGTGTTTCACGATCCTATTTTAATAAAAACATCTGTCTGATATGTGTGCATAGATATGTACTTGCAGATGTGACCAAACACTTCTGGGTGGGATGCTTCAGATGACCTCTAGGGGTGGATTTGGAGGGATGATGGGGCCTTTTCATACTTTAGCGCATTCTTAAAAAAAAATGGGGCAGGCCTGGATGGCATGGCTCAGTGGTTGAGCATTGACCTAGGATCTAGGAGATCTCAGTTTAATTCCCGGTCAGGGCACATGTCTGGGTTGTGGGCTCGATTCCCAGTAGGGGGCGTGCAGGAGGCAGCCAATAAGTGACTCATCATTGATGTTTCTATCTCTCCCTCCCTTTCCCTTCCTCTCTCTGAAATCAATAAAGACATATTTAAAAAAAATATATGGGGCAGGATTATGGGATCATATTGAACATTCCTATTTTTCTGTATTTTTTTTTCAAAAAAAAGTAATAAAAATTACATTGCAAAAATACAAAATATTAAAAATAAAAGGACCATAATCTACTGGCTCCCTGCTGAGTTCATAGAGGGCCTGGCAGAGACCTGGGCACAAAGCAAGCCCTTGGCACATGCAGAATGTGAGTTTTTGCAGAGCATGCTCAAAAACTATCAGTTTTTTCTATGTTTTTCTAAAGGGCACTCATAGGAAATCTGAGATACAGTAAAGTGACTGGGTTCTGTCTGCCTTGCCCCCAACACTTCATGCACACATTCAGCAACATTTATTGAGCACCTTCTGTGTGCTGGTTGAGGTGCAGGTTTCTGGGACATAACTGTGGCTGAAATAGACGTGGCCCCTGACCTCATGGAAGCCCCTACCTGGTGGAGGAGATAGACAATGAGAAATAAATAAACTGATAACTACTCCAGCACAGAAATGCAAGTGCTATAGTGACACAGAACAGAAGCGCTGTGAGAGAGAAATATAGGGGTGGGTTACCCCAGGGTGACAGAGCCAGCTCTGTGGGTCCTGAAGAAGGGGGGCAGCTGAGTGCCTCAGCTGCGAGCTGCTGTCTTCCCAGGTGTCACTCAGCACCACTGACCAGCTGCTGTAAACCCCCCTCTGATCTCCCGTCCTCTCCCCTGGAGCAGTGATGACACTCATCCCCTAAGCACCCCTCCAGAGGGGATTTGCAGGCGTTCACTGGGAGGGATGCTGGGGCCGGCCCTGTGATGCCTGCAGGGATTGGAACTTGCTTGGGCTGGTGCCGGAGAGCTCAGAAGACAGCTGGGAATCAGATGTCTGTATTCAAATGACTTGCCTTGTAGCTACGGTGCCAGAGCTGGCCCCCTCCCTGGGGAGACAGCATGTTTTAAGGAAAACTCTGCAAGCAGTGTTTATTGCCCCTGTCTGAGCAGTCATCCTGTGTGCTGCAAGCGTCTGTTCATGTGTGTTTTCTGTTTCTCTCTGCAGGCCGTGGAGACCAACCTGGCTTCCAAGGACAGCCACTGGGTCTTTGTCAATGAGGTAAGAGCACAGAAAGCTGAGGGCTGTGGCCTTTACTGAGCCCCTTGGCCCTTTGGAAAGCTTGGAATGATCTTTTCAGGTCGAATTCTGACTTGGGGTGCTGGAGTGAATTCCAGGGTGCCACTGTGCCAAGACCGGAGGTCAGAGTATTGTGTGACTTGACCTGCCAAGGTGCTCACCTGGAGCAGGTGGGAACCAGTTACTGAGTCTAAACTTGAGTCCACAAAGAAGTCTCCGTGAAAGAGACGTCGTATCAGGTGTTTGATGTGTGGGGTGAGGGAAGCTGGAGAGATTCGGGTAGGTTAGAAAGTGGGGTGCAGAGGAGGTGGCCAAAGAATGAGGAGGGACAGAGGCTGCGTTTCATGCAGGAGGTTGCAGGTATGTGTTACGTGATTCTGTGTGCGTGTGTGCAGAAGCACATGGGTGTGAGCATATCTGTGTGTAGGAGATTGTGAGTGTGCATGGATACATATGTATGCATAGGTATGTATGTGAGTGTGTGCGTGCACATGTGAGTGGACGTGTGTGTGTGTGCACATGTGAGTGTGCATATCTGTATGTAGGAGTGTATGTGAGTGGGCATGGATACATGCATGCATAAGTGTGTATGTGAGTGTGTGAGAGTACATGTGTGTGCACATGCGAGTGTATGGGTGTGTGAGTGCCTGTGTGCACACCCCCCACGCAGCTGGTGGGCGGGATCCTTTTCCACTTAAAGGGGTGACTGGGAGGTCTGTCCTGCTGACCGCCGCACACTGCCCGGCCCCGGGGGGCACGGCAGCACCCAGGTTTCTCGGCGGCTGCTCAGCTCTCCAGCAGTCACGCCGGCCTCCTCCGTGACGCAGGTGCGCGCAGGGGTGGCAGCAGCCACGGGCCCTGCTCTCCGGAGGAGCCCTCCGGGCTCGCTCGCCCAGGAAGCCCCGGTCGGCAGCCGGTGCGCGGCCCTTCCGCTGACTTCCGAGGGGTTACGGTGCCTGCTTTCGTTGGGGCCCTGCCTCAACCGCTTCTGCACTAACTGATCCATTTCTAGTGGCCTCATTCTAGAAGACGCAGAGTTTATTAAGTCCGTAATTTATTTATGATGTTTCTTTTTTAGCTCAGTGCTAATATGGCTGAAATAGTTTCTGGTGGCTTATTTTAATAATTTCACAGGTATATCAGGTAGAAACTGCTTGCAAGGCCCATATTTCATGGTTTTCTTCCATAAATTCACATCTTATCAGCTCCAGGTCCCCACAGGCCAGTGGAGACATGCGCAGGAGCCCTGCATTTACCACGGGCTGCTGCTGGATATGCTGGGATTCAGAGAGGGGACGTAACAGCTGCCTCCCGTCCCTCAAAGCCTGCGTGGTCCTCCTTGGTTTTTGGAGGTGTTGGTCCTCTGGATTTTGCCAGCTCCTCTACAGGTTCTTCAAAGTCCCATGTCCTTTGTTCCAGAGAAAGGCTGCATTCCTTGTGCCCCTCGGGGATATGGCTGCACTGGTCTTGCTTTTGGTGACTCCTCCGAGTGGGAGAGCCCCCGTTCCTCTTGCCAGTCTTCAGAAGTGCTCTTTACATTTCCAGCTGTTTCCTTTCCTCTCCCCTGCATCTCAGCTCACCCACGGCCCTGCACGCACTGCTGGGGCTCTGGAACCCAGGGTGTGCTTCAGGTCACCAGGAGGAGTCATGTAGGCACACCTGTCTGAGCCACACCAGATCAGCCTCCCCTGAGAGGATGGCTGTGCCTGCCCAGTCACAGTGCGCCCTGGGCCAGCACACCCCAGCCTGAGCGTGCCTTCTCCAGAAGGGACCTCGCTGTCCCTGGGTTTCCCTTTGTGTGGGGGAGGCTCTTCCTCTTGAGAAGGATGAGACAGCAGCTGCCATTGCCTGGTCATCCAAAGTGCCAGGCATTGTGCATTTGTTACCATCCTCAGTCCTTATCAACAGACCCAATGGCAGTCACTCTCATCCCCATTTTACAGATGGGTAAAGGGAGGCTTGAGAGGTTAAACCACGTGGTCAAGGTGATAGAGCTATGGAATGGCCTGTTTGGTATTCTGCATGAAGACTATCTGGCTCCACAGCCCTTTGGCAACATCACGCCCATGGCCCTGGCAAAGATCCTTGGTGGTGGCGAGCGTTAGACTCAGTGAGGCCAGTCAGCGGGGTGCAGGTGTGCGCATTGACAGGGACACTTGAGGACATTCTTGAAGTCTGGAAGGGGCCTCTTGTAAAGCTTAGGCAGCAGACACCAGCAACCCCAGCGAGGCCTCTGGCTCCTGACGGAGGTGCTCTCTGCCTTGTATGCAGACCCATCCTTAGCAGCCAGCTATATCCAGAACAACTGTCCCCTGTCACACATGGCCCCATTGAAGACAAAAGCCCCATTACTTCTGTGACAGTTGCCAGCACGGAAAGTGGGGAAAAGGAATCGCATGCAGGCATTTGGTGGCTCCAGGGTTCAGCAGGTACACTGGGGCCCCACCCTCTTGCTTCCTGAACTAAAGGCAGCTCAGGTCCTCAGAGGGGCTCAGGTCCTTGCCTCGTCTCCCACAGCTTTTCCTGAGGAGACCTGCAGCAGCCCCCTCACCCCTGCTGGCTCACTCCACAGGCTCTGTCCCCAGTCTCCCCTCTATTTCACTTGCTTAATGTACTTTCCTGGATTCAAGGTAAACACTCAGGGCACGTTTCTGTTGGCCTTCGCTAAGCAGTGGTTTGTTAGTCTGTCTTCTCTCACTAGTGAGGACTGGTGTTGCGTGTGATGGCCTGTTTTGTTTGGTGAAGGGTCATTGGAGTCAGACAAAGGCTGGTGAGTCTTCCAGCCTCACTGATAGTTTCTACGGGGCTCTGGGCTCCACTGTGGGGACACTGGCAAACAGATGTGCTTTGGGTATAAATTATATTTTCACTGAATATGTTGCTTGGAAGAGGGTGGGAAGCAACGTGAACCATTCATCCAGGGCCAGAACCCAGCTCATCACTGGATCCCCAGTGCCCATGTGGAGTGCAGACTCTGAGGAAGGTTTGCTGAAAGTCAGGGTGCCGTCTACAGGGTAGATCAAGTTGCTTTATGACCACTTCCCAGCTGGCCTCCTCGAGGAGACAGGCAGTGAGTGAGAGCAGTTTCAGGGATGGTGGGACCACTCGTGACACCTCAGAAGCTGCCTGTTCAGGGCTCGGCTCATTGGACTGCAGGAGCCTCGTTATCACTGGGCGCCGGGCGAGTGCTGCCTCCCCACACGCCAGCTGGCTGTCCGTCAGCACTTCCCATGGGCTAGGCCTCCCTCTGGCCTGCTGAGCGGGGATCAGCCTTGGGAGTCTCTGCATACAGGCAGGAGACCCGGTCTCCTGGTCTGGCCTTGGGGGAACTTGGAGGAAATTCTTTATGGAATATGGTGTAAGTTCTGGCTTCTTCTAGAACCAGCCCAGAGGCAGACTCAAAGCTCTGTGCGTTGCTGGACAGCTCGCACCGTTAGCCTACTTTCTCCAAACACGCAATCACGTCACGCTGTGATGGAAATGGTGTAAAATGCTGAGTAAGCAACCAGAAGCACACGCACAGCCTGCACTTAGGTTTCCCAGCAGTGAAGCTCTGAGCTGTGATCTGTGGCACAGTAGGAGCGCGGGGGGCGGTGGGGTCTGAGGAGGGCGGAAGCAGAGCTGACAGGCCCTCTGCACCCTGTCTTGTTCCTGGCATACGTGGATGACCCCACATCCCATGTCCGTTCCAGACCCTGCCTCTGAGCGTTGGACCCAGACATCCAGGCGCCTTCTTGACTCAGCTGCTAGAAGGTTTCATGACCACCCCCAGCTGAGAGCAGCTCTATCTGAACCCATCATTCTACCCCCCTGGTTCTCACCCAGGCTGCAGTCTCAGGGCCAAGGCCCACCCTTCTGGCTGCCTCACCAGCCGGTGGAGAAGAGCCCTCCTCCTGCGCCTGCCCCAAGCCCACTGCGGATGACCCTGCCACTCTGTGCACATTTATTTACCTCTCCGCCTCCAGCCCACTACCTCATGGCTCATCCCTGCAAGCGATGGGTAACTTGCTGTTTCCCATATTTGTTTTCTTCTCTTGGCTCTGGACCTTTGCCGGGAGTTTCCTGTATGGCCAGCGTCCGCTTCCCGAGTCTTTGATTGACAAAGACTTACCTTTCCTGCAAAGGTCTGCTAAATAGGGCCCTTGCCCAGAGGTTCTCCTGCATTTCCCCCACTAGAGAGATTCACTCTCCTTGCCCAGCTCTGCTGTGCTGGGACCTGACGCATGGGCCTGACTCTCTAAACAGCCTGTAAGTGAGGCTGCACCTCCTTCCTATTGGGGCCTGAGGGTCCCCAGCACGAGGACCTCAGCCACAGAGCAGGGGATTCACTGCAACGTCTGCCTGTTGCCCTGGCACCAGGATGCTGCTCGTCTAATGGCGTGCACTGCAGGAAGAGGGACTTAACCATTCCCGACCTTCATGGACCAGAAAACCTGCCCCTGCCCTGTGAGCCACAGCGGTCAGCATCCCTCGTTCCATGGCACTTCCTTTTCCTGCACATGCTTGCACCCCTGGGGTACAAGCTCTCCCTCTGAGGCACACGTATGCTCCCTTCCCCCGGTCCAGGCCATTGGCAGGTAGTGGAGTGGCCAGGGAGGAGGGCAGGGGAAGCCCCAGACAGGCTTCCCACGGCTTCCCAGTCTCCAAACTGGGCTGGGACACAGCCTCTGCTCATTTGTAGGTGCTTTGTGGGAAAAGGATTCTGTGAGCAAAGAGGGTAGATAAGTCCACGGCCAGAAGCAGGTGTCTCCCGGAGGCGCGTCTGGTCTCATGCACAGTGCTTTCCCAGCACGCGCGGTGCACACCGTCTGCCGCACACGTCTGTGCTCCCTGCACGCTTCCCGGCCTTTCTCTTGCCGCCTGCTCGCCTCTGTGCTGGAGTCGGCTGTTGGCCGGTGGTGGTGTGTCAGGGACCAGAGGGTAGAGTTCAGGTTCCTCCATGTGACACACGTGCCTGTTTGCAAGCTGGCTTCAGAGCCCTC